TGCACAATATTTTTTTACATGAACAAAACCCAAGCGTTTTCCAGAATGACCAGCTTTTTAGCCCCCTACCATCAATTCTACCTTCTGAACTGCAAGACAGTAGCTTTCCCCCAACTCTAAAACACGCTGCTTGACCTCACCAACTGCAGAAGGACAAAATGGAAGTAAACTGAAAATACGCTTGGCAACGGTTTTTGGTATCCACTTTTTCTGGTTTCCCGCTCAGATCTCAGATTTCAGAAATGGAAGCGAACAGGCATCAGTTAAGATTTGAGACACCCACACATTTCGATACCAGTCAGATCACGAAAGCAGTAGGTTTGAACGACTTCAAAATAAACCAAACCTTATCAGTTGTAGTCCAGGGAATGAACCAACTTAACGCATACCTGGCGAGGAACACCCTTTTAAAAATCGTGTAAGAGCTTGACTCTGCTCTCAAAGGCAGGAAAACTCTTCTCTTGCCAGGGCTCTCCTCCACAGAAGCGAGATCCAGCACAAACGGGTTAACAGAGTTAACATCACTAAACCTAGAAATATTTTTGGTATAGTGTCCCCTCCCTGCTTCCCCTGGACAGAAGCCCAGCACCGGGGACTGTAGAAAACACCGAGTCCCAAATGTTAAAGCAATTACAGTGACTAGAAATTCTTCGCTTTCTATACTGAACCAGGCTGCTTTAGAAAGCGTTTTAACAATTAGGAATAATATATTACAAAGGTACTGAGACAAAAAGGTGAACTACGATTTTTTTTTTAGACGTTGAGGTACATTAACAGCAATCGGGTTATATCAGTCTCCGGACCCTGGATGCAACCAGAGTTAAAAAAATAATCCAACCTGTGCGACTGAACACCACCAACGTACTTGGAAGACATCGTGTATATCCCTAACAGCCAGCTGCTTTCGCCAGTGTCGGATGGGATTCAGCTTCACCACACTGCTCCGACGGATTCTCAGTGTCGATGATCACTTAGCTGGTCTGAACTGAGCAAACTTTAAAAAAAAATGAGTTAAGTATAAATAATTCACAAACTGTTTTGTGCAAATTTTTTTTATTTCCACATTTATATCACAATGTGTCCACTTAAAGGACCAAATAGCAAAGTTGCTCCCTTCTGCATCCCAAGAACACAGAAGTCTAGTTACTGTACATTCACTAAGGCTCTTTGTTTTTGCAAATTGCGTTTATGATGGATATCCATAAGGCAAACAATATCTAAAGGAATGGTAACAAGTATATTTCCAGCATACAAACAGGCTTCCTTTTTCCCTCTCACAGTACAGTTACAAACTTGTAGCACCCTCATTACATTTAGATTCTAGAAAAGGTGATTTTTCTGTTTTTTTTTTTTTTTCTTTTTCTTTTTTTCCTAGAAGTTTGCAGGAAGGGAAAAGGAGGAAAAATATTTGGCTGGTGGTGGTGGGATCAAAAATATCGTTAAACATCTAGTTTTTGCAGCATTTCTCAGAGACTGGACTTAAACTGAAACCAGACTAAAATATGTGGATGCCTATGGAATGTTGAGCTGAAGCTGGTCTCCCAGCCTGCAGTGCAACACCTGCTGTTTAAAACCCAATCTCCGTACCACATGACTTTAAAAAAAACGCAATCATGTTCAGAGATGTGATACAAATAAAACTACAGTTTTTGCACATCGTCTCTCGAATATCTCACTGCCAAATAAAAACCCAAATCAAGTCAAATAAATAGATGCATATTTTGTTAAGGTAACTTCCACAATTTTCTCTGTACCTGCCTGTAATAAGATTCCGGCATTCAGAAAGTGCTGGAAATCCTCTTCACTTCTTGGGGACTAACACTTTTTTATAGCTGGCTCGCTATAGAGTTTTGAACTCAATTTATCAACCTTCGTATGCCTTCCTTTGCAATTGTTAGTAAACTGGTAGCAGCATTTCACAAAAGGAGAATTTAAAGGAAAGAGCTGTAAAGAACCAGCTCCCTCACACCCTCTGCTCGTTGGGCCTGTTTGTCCGGGACAGGAGGCTTTCTCCGTCTTTAAGTGGCATAGCGTCTGCCATTTTTGCTAACTGCAGATGTAAAAGCATTTTTAGCAAAACTGTACTCAGTCTAGGCAGACGTAAGGCAGGATGTTCAATCTACCATCATCCCCGTGTGGATCTAAAGATATGCACTGTGTCCAATCATACCAGTTACCCTGTGTGTCATAACAACCGTTCACGCCTGGCCAGTTGTGTTCACGTATTCTGTTGAGGTCATCACTTGTGACCTCTCTTGTGACCCCAGGCAAGTCTGTAGGTTTGCTGTTAGGAGCTAGAACATGAGTCTTTCTAGCCTCTTTTCTAGTGCTTTCCTCCTGCTTTAAATATTCAGACATGAAGTAGTGAGCTCCTGGAGTCTGTACTCCTGATGAAGACAGCAAGCTACTCTGTCTGTTTAAATATGACTGAATGATTTCATTTCTGGATAATTCTTTCCAGTTCGTTTGTTCAAAAGGGCTTTGCAGGTTGGGTTTTTGCTCCTGCTTTTCCGTTTCTGTCCTGTGCTGTTCAGTAAGTGCAGGGATTTCTACCTGCAAAGGATCTTTCTGTGTTAAAGGTTTTATCTGTCCTGTCATGGGATCAAAAGTGAGTTTTCTCTCTTTTAATCTCACAGGTTTCACACCCCCTTCTGTCACGTGCCCATCCAAGTTGACCGTATAGTCTCTGGGTCGGTACCTTTTCTTCTTTTTACTATCGGAACCTGAAGCAGCATCATCACTGTCCATTTTTGAAGTGTCCTGTGAAAAGCCCATGTGTGGCGTGAGAGATTCCCCAGGGTGGGAGCTGGTTTTGCAGCTGGGAGATGTGTGCTGTTGAAGTGTCCCTGCTGGATGCCTGTGCTGGCTTTCAGAAGGTACCTGCTGCTCCTGCCAGTGCTGAGAAACCTCAGTTACCGATTGCTGAGAGAACTCCAGTCTTTTTGCTGGCATTGGAGGTGTTGATGGTTGCATCAAGGATGGTGGCGGTGACGGCACCTGTGCAGTATCTAAGAACTGAGACCTTTGAGATGGACTAGGCATTGAATCCTTTGGTGAGTACGTAGTATGCTGCCGAGCAAAAGTATCATGCCTAACATTTCTAGGGCTAAACGAGGAACAGCGAGGACTCTTAGGTTGGTGCGGTCCTGTGGTTTCTTCCGATTTATCATGCTGCTGAAGCACTGCAGTCTTTAATAACGAGGAAGTGCTTGAAGGTTTTACAAGTCCTGGAGAACTGGTGTGAGGTTTTACAGCATTTACTGGGATCTTATTGTGTTTATCATTTTCACTGAGTTCTGTCCTGCTGCTTTCAGGCCCTGCATGTAGATTTACGTCTACAGGACTAGGAAAATTTTCAGGACTACCTCCAATTCCATTTGTTGGAGGGGGTGAAGAGTTTTGTAATACTTCATGACTAGCTTTGGAGACTTTTGGGGGAGGAGGGCCCTGATGCCCGTCCCTGTGTTCACCTTTCCTTTTCCGATTTCCCAATTTCTCTGTTTTTGGAGAATTTA